GGGTCCAGACACATTATGGAGGTTGTTTCACAAGTGCTCGTACACTTTACAATCTTCCAGACATAGTACGGGCACCATTGGTACATATTCCAACGAAATTCTTCTACTCTATGTTTGCCTTATTAATAAAATCATTTAAAATATCAAACAAGCGAGTACTATGCTTTGAGTTTATAGGTTTACAGAGAAGTAATTCTTCTACTGCCGATATACCATCACAAAATCGGACATGGGCAATTAAATGAGCGTCTGTATTGCTATCTGTTGCCTCGTCAGGCTGAATCGAAAACAATATGTCACGCATCTTTTCAAGAAGCTGATGCTGTACATCTTTGTCTATATCACCAATTCGTCGGGCAACAGTATAATTTGAAAGAGGTATGGATTGAAATTGTTTGGCAAAATAAGGTCTTCTTCAATGGTGTGAGCGTTTTTCATCTGGCTATTTCATATGATACTTTGTAAGAAGCAAGTAAAGCTTTTACATTCACAGACAAAGTTTTTTTGAAGAATGATGTTTGCTCTTCATATGACTTTAATTATAATTCAAAAAATTCTTGGGGCTTGTTAGTGTACTCACTATGAAGTGTTTCCAAATGGCGTCTAAGTTTATTAGGTTCCTTGCTGTCTGCTGCCAAAATTTTTAAATAAGTGACGCACATAGATCTTTCTTCATTTATTTTAGTAGTGGTAAATCCAAAATTTAGGTATTCTTGCGAATATTTTCTTGATATAATCTTCGAAATCATGGTCGACTGCGTACTTATTGATGCTTCATTATTGTCTAATACTCGCTTACGTCCAGTTTAAAATCTAACCATAGTTCTGTATAAATTTCCATGTTGGAGTAGTCGTTGTTGGCGACTACTGGCAAATTTTTATATCGAATTTTTAACAGTCTCCATTTTAAGGTCCCTATGAAGATCAGTATTGCGGCAGTATCAGAGTGCATCGACGATGTTCCTTAATCTTATTCTGGAAACATTGAATAACTTAGATTTTACTTTTACTGGCACAGCCCCAAAGCTGGCGAATTGCTTCATTTCCACGAATTACTTTAAATGGACTAATCTGAAAAAATTATAGGTAATTAAAAATGATTTATACAAATTATTTGATTAAAAATAGCTTTATTAACATTGTTTTAAATTAACTATAATAAAACAAACAAACAAAAAGCTCCGCTTTTTAATCGACTATAGAACTAATAAATAAAACTAGTGGAGTACTCACCTCAATTTCTAAAGACATATTCTGCTTCCCATATAACAACAGCACAACGCATAAATAACAAAAAAAAAGGAAATGGCTAAAACCGACAACTCAAATCTATAATTATTTAGAATATAGGGCTGTCTCTGGTAAGAAATAGAATAAGTAACTATATAAGTACATATCCCATCTTCTTCTTACAAATCAGAAATTCTTCATTAAGTGTTGACCTTTTACAACATAACCCATTTAATAACCTTTAGTGTAACATGTATACCATGTTTCAGAAACATTTTCAGTAAAATATTTAGCTAAAATATTTCAAAACGGGTACCTATCTGCTTGATGGAGAGACAACCATTTAAATAATATTTTTACAGTTTCAAACATAACATCTGTTTCGGTCAGTCCAATAGTGGCCTTTTTTGTTCGATTATGAATCATCTGTAATAATGGTAACCAATCATAGAAGCGCCTACACACACGAGCAGGGTATGGTTCGAAAGGCTGGAGGGTACATGTAATGATATCCAGATTTAAAAAGAAAATTTAAAGACTACATCATTAAGCAGTTTAATAACATGGAGTACAGTGGTAACCGTACCCCGACCAGTGTGCCCCAAACCAACTTCTAACCATTCTACCTTTAACAAAAAAACACATGCGTTTAATGATATCAAACACTGATATGAATTTTGGAGAGTATTCATTATATGATCAACATATTAGTATTAAATTACTTTGACACAAAATAAAAAAATCTTACTTACGATTATATTCTCTATACCCGCATTAAAAACAAGAATACTCTGTTCGTTGTTAACGATATACTGAATCAGCACCAGCACCAGAACATAAACACAGCTGCTAACGTAGATCAGTGCCAGTTCGTTGATGAGAGATTGCGCAGATTAATATTACTATTTTCTTTAAATTTCTGATACAGGGCCACTGTACCCCTATGGCCACTGTGAACAAATCTCCCCTACTTATTCCTATTATACTTTGTTCAATGCATTGTAACGTATACAGAGAGTCCCGAAAGTAGACGGTCATGTTTTAACAGCGTAATCTACATCCTAGGATAGGAGTAAAAGTTTATATAAACATAAGTCCGAAAACGGTTTGTTTCCGAGATACAGGGTGTTAAAAATGAAGTCCTGATGACACATTTTTGTAAATATTTTCTAAATTTTTAAAGATAACTAAGTGAAGTTTGGTACAAATGCTAAACTTTTTACGCTCTATTTAATGGACTAAAGCCAGTTTTTGATTATCTCCATAGGTGGGTAAATTATGGGAGGGGCTTACGGTTAAAGTTTTTTTGTTGATTGTTTTTAATATTTTTGACTACAAAATTTGGAAAATCAATATTTTCTTTATAATAAACCTACTTTTGTTGTATCTCGCTAGGACCAGAGTCACCTTTATTCCAAAAGTAGGGAAAAAGGATACCACACATCCTAAATCTTTCCGTCCAATCAGCCTCACATCCTTTGTATTAAAAACAATGGAGAAGGCTGTTGATAACTATATCAGAACAGAAGTCCTGGAGAGGGTGCCACTCCACCACAGCCAACACGCGTACCGAGCAGGAAGATCTACAGAAACTGCCCTGGTACAGTTGACTGATGTAATCCAGGATGCACTGACAAACAAAGAAACGGTCGTGTGTGCCTTTCTAGACATAGAAGGAGCTTTTGACAACACGCCACACGAATCTGTAAAAAGAGCACTTGCATACAGAGGAGTAGATAACATCACATCCAGATGGATGGCTCAGCTGTTATCTTCGAGAACTGCAGAGACACAGATAGGGCAGGACACCATCTCCATCTGCACAACCAGAGGATGTCCACAAGGAGGAGTTCTATCTCCACTAATGTGAAGCCTAATCGTAGACGAACTTCTATGCAGATTGACTGACCTCGGCATACCCTGTCAAGGTTATGCCGACGACATAGTCATATTTGCTAGTGGCAAGTTTAGTAATATCCTGTGTGATATAGTCCAAAGAGGACTAGAACATACCAAAAGATGGTGCCGTGAAGTGGGACTTAGTATAAACCCTACAAAAACAACACTAGTAGCCTTTTTAAGGAAAAGAAAACTTAATCTCAAAACCGTTAAATTAGACGGGATAGATATAGAATGGAAAAATGAAGTCAAATATCTAGGCCTAACCCTGGACAACAAACTTCTCTGGAACACACATGAGAACGAAGTAGTAAATAAGGCCACAAAAGCCCTAATGGTATGCAGAAACATGGCGGGTAAACGATGGGGATGTAACCCAAACATACTGCGATGGATGTATACTGCAATAGTGAGACCAATCATCACTTACGGGGCTATAGCCTGGAGTAACAGAACTAGTTTAGTTACTACGAGAGCTAATATCTCAAAAGTACAAAGACTAGCCTGTGTTTGCATTACTGGTGCAATGAGAACCTGTCCTACGGCCGCAATGGAGGTGATCTTAAACCTCACCCCTCTACATTTGATGATAGAGAATGTGGCAAAAAGGACACTATATAGAATGATCAGGAGCGGAGTAATCAGACGAAAGTCTACTTGCTTCAGGACTAAAGATACCTGGGACATACCCCAGGATGAAATGCAAAAGAAGTACAGTTTTGTGAAAAACTTCAAAACCACAGAGCTGGGCTGCAAGAAAGAATGGAGCCAAGAATCCATCGCGCTTGCAACCGAAAGACGTGCTATTCAGTGGTACACGGACGGTTCCAAAACCATAGAAGGAACTGGAATAGGAGTGTATGGGCCGAGAACCAAGCACTCCGAAAGCTTGGGAAAATACCCAAGCATCTTCCAGGCGGAAATTCACGCCATCGAGAAGTGTATCCAGTTTAACATCGAGAGAAACTATCATAAACAAGAGATTATCATCATGTCCGATAGTCAAGCAGCCATCAAAGCGCTGAGTTCTTACGTAATCAGCTCAAAAATGGTATGGAGATGCCTAGAACAATTGAATGAGCTAGGCGAGAAAAATAGAGTTACTCTCACTTGGGTCCCGGGACATAACGGGGTACAGGGTAACGAGATTGCAGATAGTCTTGCAAGGAAAGGGGCTCAAACACCCTTTGTAGGACCTGAGCCGTTCTGCGGTATCAGCAGTAACATAATATTAGAAGAGATTAAAAAAGAATTGGGTAGTAGAAGAACCGATAATTGGAACAATCTCTTGGGGCTGAGACAGGCCAAGATACTTCTGGGTGAATATAACCAAAAAAGATCGGAAGCCTGCATCTGCCTGAGCAAGAACAGGCTACGTATTGTAACAGGGATCCTTACCGGGCACTGCCGACTAAAAGGACACCTAAGTAAACTGAGAGTAGTAGAGGATAGTGAGTGCAGATTCTGGAAGGAGGAGGACGAAACCTCCATTCACATCCTAACTGAATGTGTAGCACTCCAGAATCCAAGGGCACTATATCTAGGAGGATATCAAATAGAAGAGGGAGACTTACCTAACTTGAAGCCACTTCAAATCCTACACTTCCTTGAGAAAATAGGATTGGAAGGGTCGCTATAGGCATTGAGACATTTCCTTAGTGCAGTGGCGACAGAAGGGGGCACAATAGATCTTTTAGGTCGCAGTGTATTAACACCCCATTATCAATATAACATAACATACATGAATTTTTCCAAGGCCTACTTAAAAAACATTTTTTGTGGATCAGTCCACATATTAATTATTATAATAAAAAATGTGATATAATATTCATTATTTTTATTTAAGTTTGTTTAATAAGAAATTTACTTACCAACTAACCAAGGATATGTATAGGTATTCGTTACAATTTAGATGATGTAGCACTTGCCTTGTTGACGTTAAAGACTAAACTGATTAGGTACTTATAAAAAAGGATTTATCGTTTTAACTACTTTATTAAATAAATATTTAATCTAATATTTTTCTTAATTTAAAGTATTATAGATGTAGATAGATAGGTAAATATTAAACAGGGGCAGCTTAAGGTTCATATACCAACAAGCGTGATCATGTTTCAGGTTTGCGTAACATTTTCGAAATCAAACAAAAATCTCGTTTTTTGCAGACTGTTTCGGTAGGTACTGACTAATAAAACTTGAGGAAAAGAATACCTACACAAGAAGCGAATCTCAATGGGGTTTCCATTGAAATAGCAACCTGAAACCTGAGGATAAGTAATTTTGATATACAAAATTGGGATCTATAGGCGTGTCTTGCACTCACTAAAATGGCGGAAAAGCAGATCCGGATTTACACGTTTTTATTTCTACTATTTCTGGTTAAGTAAATATAATTTGAATACGAAAAAATTATTTGCCTTTACAGATATAGTTTACTATTAAGTTTTTGTTAAAATAAAAGCTATAAGTATGTTTGAATGTGTAAGGCACTGTTTTAAAAATATGTTTGGTTTCGATTGTTTGTATTACCATGATACGCTTTGAGTGATGTTGCCGCTATATTAACTTTGAATATTGCTATGTTAGCGAAATTAGGTATTGGAATGAATATAGTTAGTCAAGCTTGGTAATTGATAGAATTAGCATCTCGGCGTTGCTCTGTATTTTAATTAATAAAACTCGTTGTTTTTGGACTTTAAACATTTGTTTTCTTGAATATTCTTAAATATCAGAAGTTGGATATTGAATCCAGTGATCGCCCGTTGATAGTGATAGTTTTTAGAAGTGTTGTCGTGTATTTTTGTGTCTAATAAATTGTGACAACGAGTGATGATAAAAAAAAATTATGATTGTTATTTTAAATGGAATTAAATTTAAATAATGTTAAGTAGATACCGACAGTTCATGTATAGAAAATCGGCAAAGTGTTTTAGAGAAACTGCATCTTAAAATTGACGATGGTAAATCATATGTTTTGCGAAGCTTTGTGGACAGTCGCATTGTTTCTCAGGGTAATGTAAAATTATATTTACGTTAAACGTTTTTGTGCTAGACGACAATAAGATGATACATGACTGTATAATCGGACGTGATTTTATTAAATTACCAAATTTAATGCTGATAGAGGCACAGATGTTTATGTTCATGAACGGGAATGAACAACGAACTAGTAAACGATTTAAGTTGCTTTGAAATTGGAAACTTCAAAATAAATTGTATATAAACAATAAACAAAAACTTGAATTTGAAACACTGATGGGTGAATTTAAAGATTTAATTTTAAGGTCCATGGTTGAACTTGGAAAAACTGACAGTGCATATATTGAAATAAAGAAAATGACATCGATAAATGGGACACTCGTGTAAAGGAGTTGCAAAGTGCTTTAAATACTTTCATTTAATAAGAACATTCTTAGTAGTTTTAGCGTTATTTGGTTATCAAAACAAAGCCTATAGCAGAAGTTTGTTAAATTTGATTTAGTCATTAATCAATCGTATTAATATTTCCGAATTAAGAAGTAAAGTTAAATAACGACCAACGTAAACAGAAGGTAACGTTATGATAAACAAATACGTGAAGCGGTGCGATTCGAAATTGGTGACTTGGTTTGTGTACTGATTATGAGTGAGGCGTGTACTGGGGCTAGCAAGAAATTACTACCAAATTTAAAGGACCATTTTGAATAACAAAAGTGCTGTACAATGATCGATACGAAGCATTACGAAGTCGAAGATTTGCGCAAACGGAGTTTCATGTTTGTTGCAGCTGACAAACTCGCCAGATGGGTAAGAGATCAGGCCGACACTGTCCGTTTGTTCCAAAGTTAGAGGCCGATACTGCCTCGGTGGGCCGACACTGCCCGTTTGCTATATAATTTGAGGCCGATACTGCCTCGGTGGGCTGACACTGCCCGTTTGTTCCAAAGTTTGAGGCCGATTCTGCCTCGGTGGACCAACACTGCCCGTTTGTTCCAAAGTTTGAGGCCGATACTGCCTCGGTGGGCCGACACTGCCCGTTTGTTTCATATTTCAAGGCCGATCCTGCCTTTGTGGACCGATACTGTCCGATACAATGGGCGTTACTGCTATATTTCAAGGACGATACCCCCTGTGTGGACCGATACTGTCCGATATGATGGCAGTTACTGCCATATTTCAAGGCCGATACCACCTTTGTGGACCGATACTGTCCGATACGATGGCCGTTACTGCCATATTTCAAGGCCGATACTGCCTTTGTGGACCGATACTGTCCGATACGATGGCCGTTACTGCCATATTTCAAGACCGATACTTCCTTTGTGGGCCGATACTGCCCGATGCGATGGTCGTTACTGCCATAGTTCGAGGCCGATACCGCCTTAGTGGGCCGATACTGCCAGATGCAATGGCCGTTACCATTGAGTAAGGAAATTATATACTCCTTTACTCAATGCCGTTACCTTAAAATTCAACAATAATACTTAGTGTAATAAGTTTATTTAAAATCTACATTATTCATAATTATGAATGCAAATATGTACAAAGTTTCTAGAGGTTGTTTTTATAAAAAAAATAGTAAGTTACAATTTTTAAATCTTTGTATTTAATTCTCTGCTGAAAGATATAAGAAAGATACGAGTACGGGTGCATATCAGCCTCCAAAAAATTTATTTTTATTCATCCCAAAGTGAAACTGATAGGTGAGTCAAATTAAAATTTCCCGCGCTCTGTTGATCAGCTGATTTTGCCCGAAGAAGATAACCTACATAACCTTAATCTTTGCTAAAGTGATGTTTCATATTGTGTATTATAATTATTCAGTGTTTGGAAATTGTATTTAATTGTGGTTTGATTCTTTGTTTGTGTTGTTTTCGTAAATATGAATATTGGATTAAGTTTATTAGAAATATTTAACTATTTAGAAGCGACTCCAGCTTTTATAAATATACATGAATGCAAAAATTATTAAATGACTTATAGCCTGGGCGATTACCAAAAAATAGATTATCGATTATTTTTGTTTAATCAATTAGTTAATCGATTATTTTCGAGTAGTAAACGATTATTTTCGTTTAATTAATTGTTTTAGATCGATTATTTTCCATTAATCAGTTATTTTCAAATAAACAATAATTAATACTCACTTATTAGATTATTCGATATATCGATATTATGTCATTGATATTTAATCTTACATTCGATTGTTATTTAATTTATCGAGTATTAGTAAATATCTAATTCAATTGCATATTAATAAGGTAATTAATCGATCGTTTTATAATATCGAATTATCGAGCATATTCATGCGAAAAATTAGTTTTAATTATACCGGTATTAGCTAAGGGGTAATAGAAATTCACTTTACAAAAATAAACTTTATTAATCAATAATGGTTGAACAGCTAATAATGAATGCCTTAATGCCGGTCTATATTTCCCTTTCTTCCTTGTTAAAACTGCGTCTGTCCACACATCGAAATAATAGAATATCTTGTGTCAGCGAAAGACGCATCGCACCCAAAAATACTACAGGGAGTGTCTAGCAAATGTGTATGTAATAAATACTGGAAGCTAACACCAAGGGCGTAGATAAGGGGGGTAATGGGGGTAATTACCCCCCCCCCAAGCCATAGTCAACATCAGTATTTTTTAAACGTTATATTAAACAAAAATAGAGAGATAAAATAAATACAATAAAATAGTTTCTCAAACATTGTCATCTAAAATAATAATATTCCTGCAAATCGAAAATTAAAATTTATATACAGGGTGCCATTAGTGCATAATTGTTCAATATTTAAATTTGTGTTATTGACAAACAAAAAAGTTTTAATTAAAGTTATATGGATTTGAAAAATACATATTTTAAAAATATTTTTGGATGACAAAAATATACGTTTTTTAAATAGAACACCCTATATTTTATTTTATTTTATTTTTAGAATGGCTTGGGAATACTGTATTTAACTCTAAAATATTTTTAAAAAATATTACAGTGTTGCCAAACAATTATTTTTTTTTTAATTAGAGAATGATGCAGACCCCAAATTAAATTATCATAATTTAGGTAGGTTTTGAAACATGTCTTAAATATGGCTAATTTTAAGTTCAATTTACTCAATTTTTTCAAACGCAACACTGTATATTATATAAATAAAAATTTTCTTGGTTTATTTGATCTTTTTTATGTTCAATTTTTTAGCACAGCACTACATATGTTTCGGAAAACTTTTCCATCTTCGGGTGCAGTCATAAATTAATAAAACATGGGGACGATTACAAACAAATTATTTTTTTTTTAAATATGTTATGGCATAAAATTCCCTATAAATTTGCAATGTGTTAGTCAATAATACATATACAGGGTGTCCCATCAGTGCATAATTGATCGATTGCTGTTTTATTATCAGAAATACGAAGAAATATTTATTATAAAAGTTGTATGACCATATTTAACAAATATTCTTAAATAAACGAGGTGCTGACCAAATCTATACTTTTTTAAGACAAAACACCCTGCAGGTAATAATACATATTTGATTGTTTTTACATCGTCAAACAATTTTAATTGACGTAATTCTTTTGCTATGTGTCAAAACGTGTGGTTACGGTTTTCTCAATTTTTAAATGGAATACCCTGTATTAATTGCTAGTATGACATATAGGGTATTAAATTTAAAAAAATGAGAAAATCGTTACCCCTCATTTTGAAACAACCTATTAACAAACAACATAGCCAATAAATTAAGTCTATTAAAATTATTTGATGATGTGAAAATAATTAAATATAAAAATGTATACGTTTGTTCAGGCCCTCGTTTATGGACCACCCTGTATATTTAAGAACATTTATTAAACAGTTCTATCACCTCGAAAATGGAAAGGTCTACAAAGATTAACCAGAAGTCCCTTTTTTGTGACAAATGACTTGAGAAATATTTATTAATCCTAAATTTTATGAAATAGGGTGTTCAAAAAGTTTTGAATAAAATTGTTCTTTAGCCCTTCATTCTACACCAATGGG